TGAATGAGAATAATGTGAACAATGAGAATAATGTAAACAATGGAAATAATGTAAACAATGGAAATAATGTAAACAATGGAAATAATGTGCGATTGGTGAACAGATGCAGAAGGTGTAAAATGCTGATGAAAAAGATGAAATTGATGTACACGTAGAGAACGATGCTAACCATCAATACTGTGAAATTGGAACAAAAATGCGCAAAGTGAAATAATGTACAAAATAATTTGATAAATGAATGTACAATGTGAGAATAATGCGTAGTTTAAGAATAATGTACATTATTGAGAATAACATGTGCATTAAGAATTATGTTTAACATAGTGACAAGTGTAACAGCAAAGTTCATTTTATTACAGACTGTAGCTATTACACTGATGAAAGGGATATCATGTACACTGAATTTATTAAGGAAATCCCCACTTTCCAGTCTGAAAACAATATCAACAAGTTCATTATCCTTATTAATACTAACCATCCTAAACTAATTAGACATGTGACACAGTATCTGAAAGTGTGTTTTGAAAAACACAAACTACATTAATTTTTTACTACCTAATCTTATGTTATATTAACATTTTGTTTTTTACTTACCTTTTTACTTACCTTTTATTACTTTCAGCCAAAAATGAATTTGTAATTTCATTACGGTGTAATAAAACTGTATTATTGTTATTATTGTACTAGTATGCATATAATAATGACCTACCGTTTTAACCAACACATAAATAATGTTCAAAAGAGTCGCATTTAACAGCATTCAATTTCCATCCATCAATGGAAAACCTGTAAACATGAACAAAAAAACTATATTTTTGCAATTCAATAATGTAAACTTGACTCTGAAGGATTTATTGTTACAGTCATGTTCACAAATACATTGTTATTGCCAATCTCCAACAAATCTGAGTGAAACTAGCATTTCTGATATTTCTCAACAGCAACAAAAATGATAAAATAAATAAATAAATAAATAAATAAATAAATAAATAAATAAACGAATGAATGAATGTTTCACTCACTCTAAAATGAGGCAGGAACCACTACCATTGTTTCCATTTTGGTGGAACAGTGCTGGATTAGCTGCGATTGTTGAACCACCGGTGAAGGTAATTGTATTGTTATCCTTATGTCCATCTACCCAGACTTTCCCATCTATTCCATTTGTTGCAATAGCAACCTGTGCACGCTCCAAAGTAGCCAGATCAGTAATTTGGTATAGAGATCCAGAAGAACACATTATGTGAGCAAATTCAAATACCTCCATGTCAGAACTAATCACAGGCATGGCTATAGGGTGTAACACAAACACAAATAATACCATTATTGACACGTCATCTACACAGCAGCCATTAAAACAGTAAATCACTGATGTTATATACAGCTCATAATAATATAACACCAATTCACTAGTATTGTATACTTAAGCAATAAATTACTGTCGAAGGCAGGTACACCACATGAGTTTGTTATATATACCAGACTTTGTAGTTGTTTATTGCCATTATATTATACCAACTTTATTTTAAATGTAATTATATATGTGATATGGTAATAACATTTAAAGAATTAAAAACCATGTACAATCTGATACAACACCAACACTACTTGCAACTATGATAAAATATGAATGGGCCCCGGAACTAGCATACAGTATACACCAAGGGGTGGCCAAAATGTATACCCCTATTTTGGCATTGCAATGTTTATTTCAGTAATTTCTTGTAAGCGGAAATGTTGTATTTATGCAAAATCATCACATTTTCAAAGAAATACAAACGCCCATATGTGCAGCAATATTTTTTAGGCTTCGTTTGCGTTATTCTGATTTTTTGTGTGCATCTCTCTTGAAGCAAAGACACAAGACTCACAATTGTTTTCATCACGTTCGTGAAGTAATCTTGACTTGAATATTCCCAGTGTGCTGGTATGCAGTTTAAAGGGCGGTAGTTGTCGTGCCACGCATGTGCAAGATATATGGGTCTCATATAAACAAAGATGGTGACTGACTGTTGCAAATTAAGACGCTACCAAGTTTAGATTAGGTATTTTTTAGATGATTGGAAGGTGTCGGTAATTAGTGCAAGTCACGCCCAGGTCAAATCTCATACTTGCGATTTTCATTAGAAGATTTTCATTGGAAGAGCACATTGATTTTGGGAAAACACATCACAAAATATTCTTGATTTCCAGAGATGGTAACAAAAAAAATTATCTGAAGGGGATCAACAAATGGAATAGTGCACGTGGAGTACGTCCCTTAGCAGTGGTCAATGTGTAGACAGAGACACGCCGTTCACTGAAAAAAATGTTGGCGTAGTTACCCATGACCCCTACATAGATGAACTTTTTGGAGATAGAGGACGCCCTTCTATATAAGCATAATTCATAAAAAAGTATAGTGGTTGGTGGCGCTGTATGTTTATATAGATATACAACAAATACTTCAATGTTCGACGTTGGTGGTAGTATAGTCATTTATAATGAAAGCTGATTGGCTGAAGCATGGTCTTATATCTTGCACCAGAAGACCTGTGATAAACTGGCTTAAATCAAGATTACACGACTGTGAGCACTGTTCATAGTGATTGCGGAAGTATATGTGGTCAAGTGCTTTAAACAGGTAATATATCACCACCAGGCAAGTGCGCATTCATTACAGCATAGCACTCAAATCGTGCATATGTGATATCATTAACGTGCCCATCCACGTCATTCACCGGGTCTGTCTTTGTTTCGTAAATCAATGTTTATGCAAGAATCACAATCATTGCCTTTGACATTTTCAGGAACAATTGTTCCGGTCTGGCACATTCCAAGTGCGTCGTAGGGATTTATTGTTTCGAGAAGAAAATAAGTAACCGCATTGTCAATCGCCAATAGCATTAATTACGGGTCAATTTAAAAGTGTGAAAATTTTAGAAGGCATTGTAAAAAACTATTCCATTGAAATACTACAAACATTTGTTCTATAATCATATTGAACATATGTTTTAAACCGCAGACTAGTAATATTACTAGTCTGAGTTTAAACAAACTGCCAT